TTTTTTTTTTTTGAGACGGAGTCTTACTCTGTTGCCCAGGCTGGAGTGCAGTGGGGTGATCTTGGCTCATGCAACCTCCACCTCCCAGGTTCAAGCAATTCTCCTGCCTCAGCCTCCCAAGTAGCTGGGACTACAGGCGTGTACCACCACACCTGGCTAAATTTTGTATTTTTAGTAGACACGGGGTTTCACCATGTTGGCCAGGCTGGTCTCGAACTCCTAACCTCATGATCCGCCCGCCTTGGCCTCCCGAAGTTCTGGGATTACACGCGTGAGCCACCGCACCTGGCTGGGCCCTGTGTTTTCACGCTGCCCTGGGTCCCTTGCATTTTGTTGCCCATCCTGTTTCCTCGGCCTGCCTGTGGGAGGAACCAGCCTCTTGACTGCATATGCCTCGGTTCCGGATGTTCCAGGTCATCTACCAAGGATGCTGGTGCTGAGGACGTGGCCTCCCCTGGCCTAGCTTAAGGGAGCAGATGGGGACACTCACCGAGACTGCCTCTTCCACGTCCTTCTTGTTGAGGAGTGCGTGGTTGATGCGCAGGACAATCCAGTCGAACAGGGCACTGTACAAGGACTTGGCCATGGAGTCGCGGGCGGTGATGGCCTATGGACACAGAAGGGGTGGCTCACCTCTGGCACAGCGGGGCCTGTGCTGGGGTCTTGCTCTGTCGCCCAGGCTGGAGTGCAATGACGTGATCTCGGCTCATTGGAACATCCACCTCCTGGGTCCAAGCAATTCTCCTGTCTCAGCCTCCCCAGTAGCTGAGATTACAGGTGAGCACCACCATGCCTGGCTAATTTTTGTTTTTACTAAAGATGGAGTTTTACCACGTTGGCCAGGCTGGTCTAAAACTCTGACCTCAGGTGATCTGCCTGCTTTGGCTTCCCAAAGTCCTGGCATTACAGGTATGAGCCACCGTGCCCAGCCAAGATGGCCTTTTGAATTTTTTTTTTTTTTTTTTGGACACAGGGTCTCATTCTATCGTCCAGGCTGGAGTGCACTGGCACAATCTTGGCTCACTGCAAACTTCACCTCCTGGGTTCAAACGATCTTCCTCCCTCAGCCTCCTGTGTAGCTGGGCCACAGCTGCACAACACAACTGGTTCATATTTCTTTTTTTGAGATGCAATTTCATTCTTGTTGCCCAGGCTGGAGGGCAATGGCACAATCCCGGCTCACTGCAACCTCCACCTCCCAGGTTCAAATGATTCTCCTGCCTCAGTCTCCTGAGCAGCTGGGATTACAGGTGCGTGCCACCACGCCTGACTGATTTTTGTATTTTTAGTAGAGATGGAGTTTTGTCATGTTGACCAGGCTCATCTGGAGCTCCTGACCTCAGGTGATCCGCCTGCCTTGGCCTCCCACAGTGTTGGGATTACAGGCGTGAGCCACCGCATCCGGCCTTAATTTTTAATTTTATTGTGGAGATGGGGTCTCACTATTTTGCTAAGCCTGGTCTCAAACTCTTGGGCTAAAGCAATTCTTCTGCCCTGGCCTCCCAAAGCGTTGGGATTACAGGTGTGAGTCACTGCAACCAGCCAAGGTGGCCTCTGTCAACACTGGACTCATCCGACACATACCTTTCCCCCTGTCCTAGAGGATGTGCCTGCACATTGGGGCATTAACAGACCCAGGGGCCCCTGGACGGGCTCTGAGGCCTCTCCATACACTGTCACGCTTCTCAGAGCCACCCAAACTGCTGCTGAGTGAGGAACTCAGGCTCAGGGAGGGGATGGGGCAATTGCGGTAGAACCAGCAAGGGGGGTCTAACTGCAGGCCCCTTGTTCTTCCGGGGGCGCCACGTGGCTGTCACCATGTGCATCAAAGCTCTTTTGTGACTGGGCACAGGGGCTGACACCTGTAATCTCAGTACTCTGGGAGTCAAGGTGGGTGGATCACTTGAGGTCAGGAGTTCAAGATCAGCCTGGACAACATGGCGAAACCCCATCTCTACTCCAAAAAAAAAAAAAAAAACAGAAAAAGGCTGGGTATGGTGAGTCATTCCTGGAATCCCAGCACTTTGGGAGGCTAAGGCAGGCGGATCACCTGAGGTCAGGAGTTCGAGACCAGCCTGACCAACATAGTAAAATCCTGTCTCTACTAAAAATACAAAATTAGCCCAGCTTGACAGCGTGTGCCTGTAATCCCAGCTACTTGGAAGGCTGAGGCAGGAGAATTGCTTGAACCTGGGAGGTGGAAGTTGCAGTGAGCCGAGATCGCACCATTGCACTCCAGCCTGGGCAATAAGGGTGAAACTCTGTGACAAAATAAAATAAAAATACAAAATAAATTAGCCAGGCCTGGTAGTGCACACCTGTAATCCCAGCTACTTGGGAGGCTGAGGCATGACAGTCACCTGAACTTGGGGGGTACGGAGGTTGCAGTGAGCCAAGGTTGTGCCACTGCATTCCAGCCGGGGCAAGAGTGAGACCCTATCTCAAAAAAAAAAAAAAAAAAAAAAAAAAAAAAAAAAAAAAAAAAAAAAAGTCTCTTAAGGTCTAATCTATATAGAATAAATGGGCTTTTTTATTTTTCTTTTTTTTACATATTCAGGCCTCAGCTCTGACAGATGTATTCAGCTGCAGACAAGACCCAGAACACGTCCCCCTCGTTTTGCATGTCCTGGATGTCAAGGAAACGGAGCCACACAGAACGCAGCTCCCGCCTGGTGCTTCTGGCTCTGCACGGAGCCTCTCGGGGGCACCGGTGTTGCTCAGGTCTTGGGTGCTGTGCAGCCACTTCCTGGCAACATCATGTGGTGCCCCGGACCCGTGTGGGCTTAGAATGTCCCCGGTGCCTGTCTGAAATCCATAGCAGCTTCCCATTGGGTGAGAAGCTAAAAATCCCCCTGGCCCCCCGCCCCGTGACTAGGTACTTTCCTGTTATTAAACAAGCCGCAAGTGACTCTGCTCTTGAGATGGAAAAATGCAAGAGAAATACAGCACAGAGAAAACATCCAGGCTAGGGCAAAGACCAGAGGGAGGCGTCTTATCAAGACTCATACGCTGGGAGTTACATAAGGGCAGTCAGTGTCATGATCCAGAGTCCAGGGATGGGCAAATTTTTTTCTGGAAGGGACCACGGGTCATTATTTTGGCTTTGGGGCCTGATGTTCTCTGTCCCAACTGCTCTGTTTAGCTGTTATAGCCCCAAAGCAGTTTAGATGGTATGTAAATGAATGGGTATGGCCATGTGCCAATAAAACTTTATTAGCAAAACCAGGTGGAGGGCCGGATCTGGCCAACCATTGCTGGTGAGAACCAGCATGCACACAGGACATCTAGAAACACAGCTATGACTGCATGTGGCTCAAGTTCTGGTCTGAGGGCCATGGTTTGCCTCCCAGGCTGGCTTGTGCCATAGTTGGCCTCATGTGACAGTCACAGGCACTGCCTGGGTTCCATTCTAGTGCTTCAGGGACAGGAATAGCCCACCCATGCCAGCTGTTTCCAAGGACCTCTCCCATTTGTGTTTCGGGGTCAGGCACCCCGTGAGCGCCTGGGCAGCACTCACCTCGCTGAGGCTGTAGGGAAGGATGAGCTTGTCGTTGACGGTCACTGTTTTTCTTTTGGTTAGAACCTCCACCAAGATTTCCCGCTTCACCTGTTTGGAGATCAAGGAGGGGGAGAAGGAAAAGGGAGATGGAGGGCTTATAAGGCATGTCCTGGTGTCATGAGGCAAGGTCTGGAGCCTGTGTCAGCTAGGAGATGGAGTCCCAGCAGCCAGGCCTGGAAGTGAGCTCTGAGGCCCACCCACCCACCTGTGATGTGCTGGGTTTTGTTATTTTTTTTTTGAGATGGTGATGGAGTCTCACTCTATCACCCAGGCTGGAGTGCAGTGGCATAATCTTGGCTCACTGCAACCTCCGCCTCCCAGGTTCAAGTGATTCTTCTGCCTCAGCCTCCCCAGTAGCAGGCATGCACCACCACACCCGGCTAATTTTTATATTTTTAATAGAGATGGGCTTTCTCTATGTTGGTCAGGCTAGTCTTGAACTCCTGACCTTAAGTGATCTGCCCGCTTTGGCCCCCTAAAGTGCTGGGATTACCGGCGTGAGCCACCGCGCCCGGCCTGAGATGGGCTGTTCTGCACTTGGCAGGTTTCAGAATTCCCACATGGCACAGGCTCGCTGGATGCTCAGGCTCTGTGGCCCCGGTGTGTGCATGCACAGTTCTCATGTGAGTGCAGGCTGTGGGTCCGGGTGGCGCCTGGTGACCAGCACTCACTGCCTTGCGTGTTGGAGCTGGTGGTTCCCATCCGTCGCACAGGGGCTGGGGCTAGACATTAGCCAGACAGCCCAACACGCTCATCCCTCCCCCAACTGCCAAGCTCCCTTTCTGAGCTGGCGGTCTCTGCCCATCAGCAGCAAGAGTGGGGGATGAGTGGGGGCTTTCGCTCTCTTTTTTTTTTTTTTTTGATGCAGTCTTGCTGTGTCACCAGGCTGGAGTGCAATGGCATGATCTCAGCTCACTGCAACCGCCTCCTGGGTTCAAGCAATTTTCCTGTCTTGGCCTCCCAAGTAGATAAGACTACACGTGCGTGCCACCACACCTGGCTAATTTTTGTATTTTTAGTAGAAACGGGGTTTCTCCATATTGGTCAGGCTGGGCTCGAACTCCTAACCTCAGGTGATCCACCCGCCTTGGCCTTCCAAGGTGCTGGGATTACAGGTGTGAGCCACCGCACCTGGCCAGCAGGGGCTTTCTCTAAATATCCCAGCAGATGCTCATATATCCCCAAGAACTCAACAAAAGCTGGGGCTCTTGTACCCTACTTTAAGAAAAGCTACAGGTGGAACGCATGCTTAATTTATGCCTGAGTTTGCAATTTTTTTTGACTTTTTGCAATCAGACCTTGGTGAGGACCTTGAGCAAGAGGATGTAACTCCCACACGCTTAGTGTTCCAATAATGGAACACTAGGCATAAATGGATTAAAAAAGACCAGGGCAGGGCTCCTCAGCCTCACTGCCATTTGTACTTGGAGCTGGATAATTCTCTGCCATGGCGGGGCTGTCCTGTGCACTGCAGGGTGTTGGGCAGCATCCCTGGCCTCTGCCTAGCAGATGCCAGGAGCAGCCCAGAGTATGGCAAGCAGACATTGCCTGGTGTGTCCTGGGGGCAGAACTGCCCTTGGCTGAGAACCAGTGGAGGAGGGGACGGCAGGTCCAAGAGAAAATGACTTCACTGATCAAACTGGAATTTTTTGTTTTTTGAGGGACAGGGCCTTGCTCTGTCACTCAGGCTGCAGTGCAGTGGCATGATCAGAGCTCACGGCAGCAATGAACTCCTGGGCTCTAGCAATCTTCCTGCCTTGGCCTCCTGTGTGGCTGGGATTACAGGAGCACACCACCAACAGCTGCCTGATTTTTAAATTTTTTTGTAGAGATCAACAGATACTATGCTGTCCAGGCTAGTCTGGAACTCCTAGCCTCAAGCGATCCTCCTGCCTCAGTCTCCCAAGTAGCTGGGATTTCAAGGATGAGCCACTGCACCCAGCCCCAAGCTGTAGTTTTTTTGAGACAGAGTCTTGCTCTGTCACCCAGGCTGGAGCGCAGTGGTGAGATCTTGGCTCACTGCAGCCTCCGCCTCCCAGGTTCAAGCAATTCTCACGCCTCAGCTTCCTGAGTAGCTGGGCCTATAGGCGCGCACCACCACACCTGGCTAATTGCTTTTTGTATTTTTAGTACAGACGGGGTTTCACCACGTTGGCCAGTCTGGTCTCAAACTCCTGACCTCAGGTGATCTGCCCGCCTCAGCCTCCCAAAGTGCTGGGATTACAGGCGTGTCACCACGCCCGGCCTGCTGTAGTTTTAAAGAGGCTTTCACTTGAGGGTGGGAGGAGGAGGTGCCCTGTCCACAGAGTTTGTCAGAAATGAGGAAGGAACACGGTGGAGATGATAGCGTGGGACGTGAGGACCTGGCTGATGAAACCTCAGCCAATGTAGGAAGTTCTGGGTGTCATCCCTCATATTGAGAGGTACCCAGAGGCATATTGAGAGTCAGCCTGAGGAGGGACAGAGGTGGCAAACGGTACCTTCAGAAGCTGGGACAGGGTGTCCAGCACCTCGGGCGGCCCGACCTCCAACCCTTCCTCTCGGCCTGTGGCTCTCTTCTTGTAAGTGACGTTGCCCAGGTACAGGATGGCCGAGAGGACAGCAAAAATCCTGGGAAGGAAAAGGCACTCACATTTGGGCAGCTTCTACATTCCTAAGACAGCAGACACTTCCAGGGAACTGGGCCGAATCCATACGGCCAGCTGATTCTGGTAGGAGCGCATGAAGGTGGAAAGGTGTCTAAGGCCTCTCTTGAGGACTGCCTCTCTGGAATGTGACTTTGCAGACAGTTCTCTTTTTTTTGAGACTGGGTCTGGCTCTGTCGCCCAGGTTGGAGTACAGTGACACAATCACAGCTCACCGTAACCTCTAACTCCTGGGCTCAAGTGATTCTACTGCCTCAGCCTCCTAAGTAGTTGGGACTACAGGCTACTACACTTAGCTCATTTAAAAACATATTTTTAAAGGGACGGGGTCTTGCTGTGTTGCCCAGGCTGGTCTCAAACTCCTGGCCTCAGGTGATCCTCCTGCCTTGGCCTCCTGAATAGCTGGGATTATAGGCCTGAACCACCGCACCTGGCTAGATAGCTATTTTCTTTTTTTTTTTTGAAACAGAGTCTCACTCTGTCACCCAGGCTGGAGTGCAGTGGCACGATCACAGCTCACTGCAGCCTCAACCTCCCTGGGCTCAGGTGATCCTCCTACCTCAGCCTCCCGGGCAGCTGGGACTACAGGTTTGCACCACCATACCTGGCTAGTGAAACTGTGTCTCAAAAAAGAAAAAAGTGTACAGATCCCTCTAGCCCCCAGACCAAGAAATAGAACATTCCAGGTCCTGGATCCTGGAGCCCCCCAAGCCCAGAGGAAGCATGGTCTTGACATGTAATGCTGCCTATGAACTTGATGGGAATGAAACTGTAGGTACTTGTGTCTGGCCAGTCGCTGGCTATGTTGTCCAGGCTAGAGTCCATTGGCTATTCAGAGGTGCCGTCTTTTTATTTATTTATTTTTGAGACAGTGTCACTCTGTCACCCAGGCTGAAGTTCAGTGGCACTGTGGCCTCCGCCTTCTAGGTTCAAGGGATTCTTGTGCCTCAGCCTCCTGCGTAGCTGGGATTACAGGCGTGCACCATCATGCCCGGCTAAATTGTATTTTCACTAGTGATGGGGTTTCTCTATGTTGGTCAGGCTGGTCTTGAACTCCCGACCTCAGATGATCCTCCCGCCTCAGCCTCCCAAAGTGCTGGGATTACAGGCATGAGCCACCACGCCCGGCTGGCAAACCATTTTTAAGGGTACAGTTCGGCAGAGTTAAGAATGTTCACGTCGGCCGGGCTCGGTGGCTCACGCCTGTAATCCCGGCACTTTGGGAGGCCGAGGCGGGTGGATCACGAGGTCAAGAGATCAAGACCATCCTGGTCAACATGGTGAAACCCCGTCTCTACTAAAAATACAAAAAATTAGCTGGGCATGGTGGCGCGTGCCTGTAGTCCCAGCTACTCAGGAGGCTGAGGCAGGAGAATTGCCTGAACCCAGGAGGCGGAGGTTGCGGTGAGCCGAGATCACGCCATTGCACTCCAGCCTGGGTAACAAGAGCGAAACTCCGTCCCAAAAAAAAAAAAAAAAAAAAAAAAAAAAAGAATGTTCACGTTACCTTTAATTGGCATCACCTAATGACCAATGGCTTGAGGCCCTTCTCATGTGCTCACTGCTATGGGGCCACATTCTGTAGGGCAGCTCTGTTCAGGACACTGCCTGCCCGTTTTCACTGGGTTGTGGATTGTACTACAGAGTGACTGGCAAGGGCCACGCATGCTCCCTGTAGGCTTGGGGGGACGGGCCAGGGGCCACATACTTACTGCTTCTTGGTGGCGGGGAGGAAGCCCACCATCTCCATGGCCTGCTTGAGCCTCTCAAAGTCATGCTTCAGGTCCTCCCCATCTTCAATCTTCAAGTTATGCTGGAAAACAAAGGCGTCAGGGCATTCCTGCGCTGGTGAGGGTGGCGTGCCAGAGTGATTTTGGCTGGAGCTGGCGGGGCAGGGCCCCAGGACCAGGGGAATGAATGGGTTCTTTTAATGCTGCCTTCTGGGAGTGGGTTTGGGGGCCAGGGCAGGCTGCCTCTGACTTCCCGGCTGTGCATAAACAGCTTGAGGCCGGGAACAGAGGTGCCATTTGTGGCTGGGGCTCGAGGCTGTTTACCTGGTTGAGGTAGAAATAATCTTCAGGCTGCTTAAGCTGAAATTCTCGGCGTTCTTCCTCACTGACCCCAAGTAACAAATAATAAAACACGTGGTAGTTCCTGCAGGTCAAAATTGGGAGGAAAACAGTCGTTCTTGGAGGCCAAGCAATAGCTGCTCTGCAAACCGCTAGTAACACGGCTTTGGAGAACACACCTCAAATATGCACAAACTTAAAACAGTAAGTCACTTCTTACTATGTCTTAAAAAAACAAAACAAATAAATGTCTTGAGCGAATAGGTTTCTGGAGGATTGGAGGCGGGTAGGTGTCCATCTCACTTATTTGTCAATCAGAAACGTTTCTTTTTTCTTTTTTTTTTTGAGACGGAGTCTTACTCTATTGCCCAGGCTGGAGTGCAGTGGGGCGATCTCGGTTCACTGCAACCTCTGCCTTTGGGGTTCAAGTTCAAGTGATTCTCCTGCCTCAGCCTCCTGAGAAGCCAGGATTACAGGCGCTCACCACCATACCCAGCTCATTTTTGTATTTTAGTAGAGATGGGGTTTCACTATGTCGGGCAGGCTGGTCTTGAACACCTGACCTCGTGATCTGCCCACCTTGGCCTCTGAAAGTGCCGGGATTACAGGCATGAGCCACTGCGCCCGCACCCCCCACCCCCCAACTTCTTTTTGAAATGGAGTCTTGCTCCCTTGCCCAGGCTGGAGTGCAATGGTGCGATTTTGGCTCACACAACTTCCACCTCCTGGGTTCAAGTGATTATCCTGCTTCAGCCTCCCAGGTAGCTGGGATTATAGGCGTGAGCCACCATACCCAGCTAGTTTTTTGTATTTTTAGTAGAGACGAGGTTTTACCATGTTGTTCAGACTGGTCTCAAACTCCTGACCTCGTGATCCGCCTGCCTCAGCCTCCCAAAGTGCTGGGATTACAGGCATGAGCCATGGTGCCCAGCTAATCAGAAATGTTTCTAATCTTTTTTTTTTTTTTTTCCTTAAGAAAGGGTTTTGCTGTGTTGCTCAGGCTGGAGTGCAGAGGTGCGATCACAGCTCACTGCAGCCTTGACCTCCTGGGTTCAAGTGATCCTCCCAGCTCAGCCTCCTGAGTAGCTGGGACTACAGTTGTTTGTCACTATGCCCAGCTAATTTTTTTTGGTCTTCTTTGTAGAGATTGGGTTTCACCATGTTGCCCAGGGTGGTCTTGAACTCCTGGGTTCATGTGATCCTCCCGCCTAGGCCTCCCAAAGTGCTGGGATTATAGGCATGAGTCACTGCTCCAGGCCTGTTGTTTTTTTTTTCTTAAAGAGTCAAGACTCTATCCGGGCACGGTGGCGTACGCATGTAATCCCAGCTGCTCGGGAGGTTAAGGCACGAGAATCGCTTGAACCCAGGAGGCGGGGATTGCAGTGAGCTGGGATCAAGACTCTGACACAAAACAAAAACAAAAAGCCCAACCAACCAAACAAACAAAAATAAAGAGAGAAGGACTCGCCCTATTGCCCAGGCTGAAGCGTAGCGTCTAGCTTGCTGCAGCCTCAACCTCCTGGGCTCAGGTGATCCTGTCTGCCTAGGCCTCCTCAATAGCTGGGATGATAGGCACAGGTGTAGGCCACCATGCCTGAGAAAAGTTTCCAATCTAACTATACATTGTGCAGACATCTGAGCACCTACTGGGGACAAAACCTCCGGGGAGGCACACAAAGGTGGCTTGGGAGGTATGAGGACAAAGTGTGAGGCCACCGGGGCAGATCTGGGGAGAAGACGGATGGGCAGGCCCGCTCCTGTGAGAGCCTCCATGGCCTCCTGCAAAGTTCCTCTGAGCTCAGGACATTTCTGTTGCTTCCCTCCTCTGTAAGAGGAAACACAGACGTGACATGGCATTCAGAGATCCCTGAGGAAACGTTCTCCTACCTCTCGTCCTTCTCCTGAGATACCAGGCGAGACTTTTCAAGCAGATATTTTTCGACAACAGCTCTGTCATTAAGAGAAAAGGAGAAAGAATAAAATGTTAAGTTGTAGTATTGTGTTATTATTTTTTTTTTGAGATGGAATCTTGCTCTGTTGTCCAGGCTGGAGTGCAATGGCACGGTTTCTGCTCACTGCAACCTCCGCCTCTTGGGTTTAAGCGACTCTCCTGCTTCAGCCTCCTGAGTAGCTGGGATTACAGGCATGTGCCATCATGCCTGGCTAATTTTGTATTTTTAGTAGGGATGGGATTTCTTTATGTTGGTCAGGTTGGTATCGAAATCCTGACCTCAGGTGATCCACCTGCCTCAGCTTCCCAAAGTGCTGGAATTACAGGTGTGAGCCACTGCACCCGGCATTGGTTTTAAGACAGGGTCTCACTCTGTTGTGCAGGCTGGAGTGTAGTGGCACGATTATAACTCAGTGAAGCCTCGACCTCCCAGGCTCAAGTGATGCTCCCACCTCAGCCTCCCGAGTAGCTGGGACTACAGGCTAATTTTTTTAGTTTTTGTAGAGATGGGGTTTCATCATGTTGCCCAGGCTGGTCTGTAATTCCTGGCGTCAAGTGACCTGCCTGCCTCTGTCTCCTGAAGTGTTGGGATTATAGGCGTGAGCCATGCATCTGGCCTGTCATTGTGGTTTGGATTTGCACTTCCCTGGTGACTGATGACGCTGAACATCTGCTCACGTGCTTACTGGTCATTCATAGCTCTTCTCTGATGAAGTACCCATTGACGTCTTTTGTGGTTTTCTTACTGGGGTCTTGGTACTATTATTGAGCTGTAAATGCTCTTTCTATATTCTAGACGCAAGTCCTTTGCTGGTTCTGATCTGCAGGTACCTTCTCTGGATCTGGGGCTTCAATTTTTTTTACAGAAATCACAGGGGTCTGTGACGCCCATCAATACTTGGTTGTATCTATATGGTCTGGTGTTCTGCTGTTTACTGATCATTTTCTTTTTTTTTGAGATGGAGTTCTGCTCTCTTGTCACCCAGGCTGGCGTGCACTGGCATGATCTCGGCTCACTGCAACCTCCGCCTTCCAGGTTCAAGCAATTCTTCTGCCTCAGCCTCCCAAGTAACTGGGACTACAGGTGCATGCCAACAAGCCCGGCTACTTTTTGTATTTTTAGTAGAGATGGGGTTTCACTGTGCTGGCCAGGCTGGTCTCTACATCTTGACTCACGATCTGCCCACCTCGGCCTCCCAAAGTGCTGGGACTACAGGCATGAACAACTGCTCCCGGCTGTTTTCATTACGCCAAGCAGTTAAGGTGTTTCCTCCAAGTTAAGTTTTCAGAGGCCCCTCGGAAGGCACGTGGCATCATGTGGGACATTGAGTCTAAGGGTGCCAGTGCAGGGGACTAGGGTGTCTCTGCAGCCCCAAATATTTCTCAATGCTAAAAGCAGTGGCAGTGAATGGTTTTTTGAGGACATACATGTTGTAGGCATCGTTTTATGTATTTCTCAGGGACTCCTCTTACATGCTGGGGCAGGTGCTGAGGCCAGCATGGTGGCTCCTGAGGAGTGGACAAGGAACCGAGGCTTGGAGAGACTGTGCTGCCCAGGGGCCCATGGGAAGGGGGTGGCCTGGTGGGATCCTTTCACACCAGCTGGGGCTGGCTGAGTCTGGTGGGGCCGGTCTATCATGGGGGTCCGCCATCACCAGATGTGTGAGCTCACTGGGGCCTCCAGATCAGTCTCATCTGAGCCCATCCTATCATGCAGGAGACATGGCTGGTACCCAAGGGGTGGCAGAGCCAGGGGGCAGCACAAGGGACCCAATCCAGGGCCTGCTGAATGCCACCTGCCTGTCTCCAGGACAGCAGGCTTTTTTTTTTTTTTTTTTTTTTTTTTGAGACAGAGTCTCACTCTATTGTCCATGCTGGAGTGCAGTGGCACAATCTCGGCTCACTGCAACCTCCGCCCCCTGGGTTTAAGCAGCTTTCCTGCCTCAGCCTCCTAAGTAGCTGGGATTACAGGCATGCACCACCACGCCCAGCTAATGTAATTTTAGTAGAGATGGGGTTTCACCACATTGGGCAGGCTGGTCTTGAACTCCTGGGCTCAAGAGATCTACCTGCCTCAGTCTCCTGAAATGCTGGGATTATAGGCATGAGCCACCATGCCTGGCCCAGGACAGCAGTCTTTCATCTGCTGGCTTACACGGGGACACACAACATGCACAGGTGGGTTTGGATGGCCTGGCCTGGGGCCTCTCTTCTTTCAAATAAGAGAAAAAGCTTTTCCTTCTATTCCTTCCCTGGGCTAGTAACCATTCAGTTTCGGCACCTTCCTGTAGTCTGCATTCCTGGGGAGGGAGGCTGTGTCTGGTTCTAGAAGGAGACTCATGTTTCAATCTCAGCCTGTGGCTGATTCCCTGGGCTGCTTCTGAGGGTCTGGCAGAGGATGTGGCCCCACGGTGGCAGGATGGCAAGCCAGCAATGGGTGTCGGTACTGAAACGTCGCCTGACCAATGATGGCTCCTTCCCTTCCCCAATCATTTTCTTTTTTTTTTTGAGACCGAGTTTCACCCTTGTTGTCCAGGCTGCAGTGCAATGGCGTGATCTCGGCTCACCGCAACCTCTGCCTCCTGGGTTCAAGCAATTCTCCTGCCTCAGCCTCCCAAGTAGTTGAGACTACAGGCACGCACCATCACACCCACCAGTGGGGACATAAGGGACAGCGACTCACCCTCTCACGATGCCACTCTCTAGGTAGCTGACTTGGATGAATTTCCCAAACCGGCTGGAGTTGTTGTTGTGGGCCGTCTTGGCGTTTCCAAAAGCCTGCAAGGGAATCAAAAGCAGCTTTTCAGATCGTGACGATGGAATTTCTTTTTTTTCCCTCTCATTTTATACTGTGCTTTTACTTTTACTTTTATTTTGAATTTTTCAATTTATCTATTTTTTCTTTTTTTTTTTCCTTTGGCCATAGTCTCACTCGGTCACCTGGGCTGGAGTGCAGTGTTGCGATATCAGCTCACTGCAACCTCTGCCTCGCGGGTTCAAGCAATTCTCATGCCTCAGCTTCCTGGGTAGCTGGGACTACAGACATGCACTACCAAGCTATTTTAGTAGATATGGGGTTTCACCATGTCGTCCAGGTTGGTCTCGAACTCCTGAGCTCAGGCAATCTGCCTGCCTCAGCCTCCCAAAGCGCATGAGCCGCTGTGCCCGGTCTCTGTTTTTTCTTTAACTGTTCCTGCAAAGCAACGCTACCCAGTACGCAGAGGGTAGCCCATTTTCTTTTTCTTGAGACAGAGTCACACAACATCACCCGGGCTGGAGTGCAGTGGTGTGATCTTGGCTCACTGCAACCTCTGCCTCTTGGGCTGAAGCAATCCTCCCACCTCAGCTTCCCGTGTAGCTGGGACTGGAGGCGTGCACCACCACGCCTGCCTAATTTTTTTTAGAGATGGGGTTTTGCCATGTTGCCAGGCTGGTATGGAACTCCTGAGCTCAAATGATCCACCCACCTCAGTCTCCCAAAATGCTGGAATTACAGGCATGAGCCATTGTGCCTGGCCTTGATTTATCTTATTAGTTAATATTTTCCAGACTGTGACATAATTTGCAAAAACGTCATTTTATTTATTTATTTGCGGTCTAAATACACTTTATTTTTTTACTTTTAAATTTTACATTATTTTTGAGATGGGGTCTTGCTCTGCTGCCCAGGCTGAAGTGCAGTGGTGTGATCTCAGCTCACTGCAACCTCTGTCTCCTGTGCTCAAGAGATCCTCCCACCTCAGCACCCCGAGTGGCTGCAACCACAGGCATGTACCAGACCAGCATGCCCAGACTTGTGTCTGGCTGCTGCTGCTTTTTTCTTTTTAAGAGGCAGGGTCTTGCTCTGTCCCTTAGGCTGGAGTGCAATGGTGCAATCATAGCTCACTGCAAGCCTCAACCTCCTGGGCTCAAGTAATCCTCCTGCCTCAGCCTCCCAAGCAGCTGGGACCACAGGTGCACGCCACCATTGGCTAATATTTTAAATTTTTTGTAGAGACAGCATGTCCCTACGTTGTCTAGGGTGGTCTTAAACTCCTGGCCTCTAGTGATCCTCCTGCCCTGGACTCCCAAAGATCTGTGATGACAGGCACAATGGCTCGCCTGTAGTCAATGTTTCATCCCTTTTTCACAGGGCCATCTTTTTGCCCTGTACTGAGGAGTCCACACACACAGGGAAGTGTGCAGTGCAGGCAGTATGCAGGCGTGCCCTGTGGGGTTTCCATACAACCATCACCTGCATGAAGATGGCGGACATCCACTCCCTGTCCAACTTCCTGGGGTGCTTCCTTCTCATGAGGGACTTACTGCTCCAGAGGGGTTAAGATGGAGCCCTGGGGGAACTTGAGGCAGGGATGGTGCCTGGGGCAGGACAGAGAAGCTGGAAGAGGTGGTCGGGGGGGCTCTTTTTTTTAGGGAGAAAGAAGGTGGGGTGAGGCCAGCAGGATGCAGGCTGCAAGGCCTGGCAGATGAGAGCGAGGAGGCAGAGCTGATCCTGGGGCCTGGTGTTCTACCATCCAAGCCCTTGTGACTGCTGGGTTTGGGGGAAGAGGTGACCTCGCAGGGGAAGGGCACAGGGGCGGGGGGCACGCCCTGGAGTCAAACGTGGAAAGTTTGGCAGGGGTGATGTTCCCGTTTGAGAGGCTGGGACGCCCAGGGAGGAGAGGAGGGAGTGAGGCCACAGTGGGAAGGGAGTGTCAAGGCCATTGCCAAGGTCCCACTGTAGGAGATGGGGGAGGTGGTGGCCAAGTACGCAGGGGAGGCAGAAACTGGAGACATGAAGACACAGAATAATGGGGTCTTCCTGAAGGCCTCATTCCACAGGGGGGATGCATACTGGCTGTCATGGACTTTATGTCTGTGTCCTCCACAGTTTTTTTTTTTTTTTTTG